GGAGAGAAGGCCCCCGAATCCTGGTCACAGCCCCCGTGGCTCACCTTGGTGGGGCCAGGACTGGCTGAGGACCCTGTCTGCTCAATACCTAGGTAGCCACTTCTGGGGCCCTCTAAAGACTCAAAGGAGGGGTTGAGAGTTCACCAGCCCTAGCCTGTTGGAGCCTCCTTTCTGTGACCCACACATCATAAGAACGCTCCTACGTGCCTTTCTTCCCTGCACCAGAGTCCTATGTGGTCACCCACGAATGACTCTTGACCTGCTCTCTGGACAACTTTCATGTGCTTCCAGTAGTGGAAGGACAGTGACTGCCATGTCCTATTCAATTTCTCCTTGGAGCCCTGGGTGGTCACGGAACAGAGGATTAGTCTCGCTCTCTCTCTCTCTCTCTCTCTCTCTCTCTCTCTCTCTCTCTCTCTCGCTATCGCTCTCTCTCGCACTTGCTCTGGCTCTCTCTCCCTCTCTTTGTGTACACACCCATTTCCCCCCAAATGCCTGAAGGATATTTCTTGCAAGACAGACAATAGGTATGGATAAAACTGTAGACACAAAGCTGGGAAAGGAGTCACCTAGACCCAGAAGGACAGTGGGAACTGCCAGGTTAGTTGGTCCTCCTCCGAGCCCGTGGGCAGCCTGTGTACCCCATCCTTCCATTCACTTGTGTGTTTGCCCCAGGAGATGTTCTCCTTGAGGACTGGAACCTCATGGAATTCAACACGATCCCCTCGTGTCTAGGGCCTTCCTCTGAGTATGACCTCAATGAATTAAGAAGCAAGAAAAAGGCAGGAAAGATAATTAAAAAGAGGAAAAGGGGGTGAGGGACGAGGTCATCAGCGTTCGGGGGTAAGAGACATTTTATTCATTATCTCTTTTAATCTTCACAATAACTTTAAGAGTTTAGATGTTAGCATTGGCCCCATCTCAGATATCAAAACCTTGAACCTCCAGGAAGTGGGGCAGCCTTCCTGGCTCACTGTTAGGATGTACCCGGTCAAGGTTGGGACCAAATTCCAGCCACCTCCACAGCCTGGCTCTTCTGCCTATGGCCATGCTCTGCTGCTTTCACTCAGGCCCAGCCTAGGAGTTTCCATTTCATCCCAGAGGCAGCAGACCTTGAAATCTTTCTGAAAACGTGTGAGTTGAGTTTGCAAAGTACTGTTAAAATTAAAATCAAACGCCGGGCATGGTGACACATGCCTGTAATTCCAGCACTTCGGGAGGCCGAGGGGGGCAGATTACCTGAGGTCGGTAGTTCGAGACCAGCCTGACCAACATGGAGAAACTCCGTCTCTACTAAAAACACAAAATTAGCCAGGCGTAGTGGTGCATGCCTGTAATCCCAGCTACTCAGGAGCCTGAGGCAGGAGAATCGATTGAACCTGGGAGGCAGAGGTTGTGGTGAGCCAAGATCACGCCATTGCACTCCAGCCTGGGCAACAAAAGTGAAACTCTGTCTCCAAGAAAAAAAAAAAGAAAATTAAAATAGAAGCCGGCGCAGTGGCTAACACCTGTTATCCCAGCACTTTGGGAAGCTAAGGGGGGTGGATTGCTTTAGGCCAGGAGTTCAAGACCAGCCTGGGCAACATGGCAAAACCCCATCTGTACAAAAAATACCAAAAAAAAAAAAAAAGCCAGACGTGGTAGTGCACACCTACTCTGGAGGCTGAGGTAAGAGGATTACCTGATCCTGCAAGGTGGAGGCTGCAGTGAGCCGAGATTGCACCACAGCACTCCAGCCTGGGGCAAGACCTTGTCTTTTTTTTTTTGAGACAGAGTCTCACTCTGTCTTGTAGCCTCAAGATCTCGGCTCAGTGCAACCTCTGCCTCCCGGGTTCAAGCAATTCTCCTGCTTCAGCCTCCTGAGTAGCTGGGATTACAGGCGTGAGCCACCACACCCAGCTAAATTTCGTATTTTTAGTAGAGACAGGGTTTCGCCATGTTGGTCAGCTGGGACCTTGTCTGTAAATAAAAAATAAAACTAAAAATAAAAATAAATCGAATAGGCCGGGCACGGTGACTCACGCCTGTAATCCTGCACTTTGGGAGGCCGAGGCGGGTGGATCACAAGGTCAGGAGATCGAGACCATCCTGGCTAATGCTGTGAAAATTCGTCTCTACTAAAAAAAAATACAAAAAAATTAGCTGGGCGCCATTGCGGGCGCCTGTAGTCCCAGCTACTTGGGAGGCTGAGGCAGGAGAATGGCGTGAATCGGGGAGGCGGAGCTTGCCATGAGCCGAGATCGCGCCACTGCCCTCCAGTCTGGGAGACAGAGTGAGACTCCGTCTCAAAATAAATAAATAAATAAATAAAATAAACCGAGTAGAGATTTTCTGCCAAGGAATTCCCAGTTTTCCGCTGCAGTCCAAGCTGGTGTTAAGACCTCCTTCCTTAAAAAGATCATATATTGGCCACTTAAATTAGAAAAGTCACAGGTCTAGGAAACAAAGATCTTCCCCCATCCTTCTCTGCGGACTACGTTTAGCTGAGCATCCTTCCAGCAAATCTAGACCCCACGTTTGAGGAATCTCACTTCTCCTGGAGAAAAAAAGAAAAGGGAACTTAGGCCTATCAGATCCAGCTTGATTCACTTCATTGTAACAAACAAGGCCTTATGTGGCAGCCACAGAGCAGGGGGGGACCTGCAGCCACAAACCCCTTCCCAGGCCCCCTGAATGCCAACATCCAGACAGGAAGTTGTGAGCAGAAATAAAGTGTTCATAGGTTTCCCATGTGCAATGAAGAGCTTATGTGAGGTCTACGAAAGTGTGGCAAATCCTTGGCTTTAAAAATTGCAAGGAAACTTACTTGTGGCTGTCGGCTTGGTGGGTGTCTGCTCCAGAGGAAGAAGCAATCTTTGTAAGGATCCTCTTGGTTCCTGTGTGTGGCTTGGTTTGCTTAAAGTATTTTTTATCTTTTTACATTTATTTTATTTTATTTTTACTAATTTCTGCTTTTATTATAGATTCTTAGGGTATATGTGCAGGTTTCTTACCTGGGAATATTGTGTGATGCTGGGGTTTGGCATACAATTGATCCTGTCACCCAGGTACTAAGCATAGTCTCCAACACTTTTCCAGCCCTTGCCCCCTCCACCCCTTTCCTCACCGCCGTAACAGTCCCCAGTGTCTACTGTTCCCATCTTTATGTTCATGAGTGTCCAATGTTTAGCTCCCATTTGTAAGTGAGAACATGTGGTATTTGGTTTTCTGTTAAAAAAAGATTTCATTTTAAGATTTAAGATATTTGATAGAACTAATTTGTGTTGTTAAAAATGAAACTTAGGCCAGATGTGGTGGCTCACGCCTCCCACCACTCTGGGAGGCCGAGGCAGGCAGATCACTTGAGCTCAAGAGTTTGAGACCAGCCTGGGCAACATGGTGAAACCGTGTCTCTACTAACAGTACAAAAATTAGCCAGCCATGGTGGCGGGCACCTGTAATCCCAGCTACTCAGGGGGCTGAGGCAGGAAAATTACCTGAACCTGAGAATCAGAGGTTGCAGTGAGCCGAGACAGTGCCACTACACTCCAGCCTGGGTGACAGAGTGAGAATTCTGTCTCAAAAAAAAAAAAAAAGAAAGAAAGAAAAAGAAAAGACAATTTAAAAACTAAGATTTTATGGGTTGTGTTATGTTTTCAATGGACAAGTATCTCAGCCCCATACTTCTAATTGAAAAATGTCAAACATCTGATTGTTCCAGGCTTCAAAATATAAGTAATACCTAGCATTTGCATGAGGTTCGTGATTTACAAAGTATTTTCCGTCAGAGAACTTGCCTGCTGCTGTGTAAATCAAGGCTCATTTTTATGTATTATCTTTCCCATACTTTGTTCAAAAACAGATTTGAGATAGCTAGTAGGTATGTTACCAGAAGACACAGGTGTAGAGCCTCTTAGAAACTGAGTTCTATTATGATGAAACTGCTAAAAACTTGGAGCATTTCAATTTCTAAACATAGCACTTGTGTATTCATCCTGCAGTTATCTTTTATTTTTTATTTTATTTTATTTTATTTTTTGAGATAGAGTCTCACTCTGTTGCCCAGGCTAGAGTGCAATGGCGCCATCTTGGCTCACTGCAACCTCCATCTCCCGGGTTCAAGTGATTCTCCTGCCTCAGCCTCCTGAGTAGCTGTGATTACAGGCACCCACCACCACACCTCGCTAATTTTTGTATTTTTAGTAGAGATGGGGTTTCACCATGTTGGTCAGGCTGGTCTCGAACTCCTGACCTCATGATCCACCTGCTTTGGCCTCCCAAAGTGCTGGGATTACAGGTGTGAGCCATCACACCTGGCCCATCCTGTAGTTACCTTTAACAAGGCCTGGACATTCAGTATGTACCTACACCTCTCAGGCCATTGCTGGAGCATGTAAGACTAAAATATGAGCTCATCTGAAGACTAATGTGTTGGAACAAGCTCTGAACATGGGCAGGGCTGGGATGTCCTACCGTCCTCTTTTCATCACTTCCCCACTCTATGCATTTGGATGGATCTTTAGAGTCTCTGAGCTTGTTTCCTTGTGGAGAGACTAATGCCTGCCATGCCTAATTCTCAGCACTACTTTGTAGATGTAGTGTGATAAGCGGTGTGAAATTTACACGCACTGACACTGGTGGTGTTTTATTATTATTATAGATCCAGTGTTATAAGGCGCTGGTACCAACTGCAGCTCTATTTCTTGCTGTGTAATCATGGACAAGTTACCTCCCTGTCAGCCTCAAAGTCCACATCTGTCAAATGAAGAGGGCGATGCTATATGTTTTATTTCTTTTTTCTTTTTTTAATTTTTTTGAAACAGAGTCTCGCTCTGTCACCCAGGCTGGAGTGCAGTGGTGCCATCTTGGCTCACTGCAGCCTCCACCTTCCAGGTTCAAGCAATTCTCCTGCCTCAGCCTCCCGAGTACCTGGGATTATAGGCATGCATCACCACGCCAGGCTAATCTTTGTATTTTTAGTAAAGGTGGGATTTCACCATGTTGGCCAAGCTGGTCTCGAACTCTTGACCTCAAGTGATCCACCTGCCTCAGCCTCTGAAAGTGCTGGGATTACAGACGTGAGCCACGGCGCTGGCCTAGATGTTTTATTTCACCACGACTCCAAGTGTAACTACCAGTATGCTGTGAAATAAGGAGCCTGCATTAGAATATTAAACAATGCCCAGCTTCCTTCATCGAGACAGTCTTGTTATCAAAACAAAACAAAAAACCGCTGAGCTAAACAGTATGCCTAGTGACTAGTAGTAGTACACTGACTGGATTAGCCCTTCCATGACTACATCATAGGATTTCAATGACATTCTTACCCTACTTGCAAGATAAACAGGGATCCAGGGAATTGATTAAATTCAGGATTCACCCAGATGGGGCCACTGTCTCTTCTAATTACTCAACAGGTCTTTACAGGGGACCTGCTAAGCCCAGCCCAGTGGTCCCTTCCCAGGACCCTCCAAATCAAATGGGGAGACAAGACATAAGCAAGGAACACCACAAGAAAGCTAGGCACTAGGCAGTCCTACACGGAACAAAACTGCAGAGAAGCCCATGGAGTCAAATGTCTCTGAGACGGGACAAATGGGGAAGGCTTCCTAGAGGAGGTGGCATTTTCACCAGGGTTGATGAAGTTAATCTGCATTAAGTAAAATTTGGAAAGGTCTAGGAACACAGTGCCTTATACACAGTATTCTTGTGCTCATTTCTTAGTAATCTAGAAATGGGTTCTGGTGCCCATGGGTGAGATACTGGCCAGTTCTCTCAGGCAGAAAATCCAGACTTCTTGCATATAGCTAGATTCCTGTGAACACTTTGATGCATTTGTATTAGAAAGAAAACATCCAAGTCACAAATAGCATCTATGCAGGGAGAACTCTTACACCTTTTCCTTCCTCTGCAGAGACCAGTGACCTGTTGAAGTGGTACCTCTGGCTCAGTCGGCCTCAGTCTTCCGCTGGGACTCAGACCTGCTCTGGAAATAAAAAATGTTCCTGATATGTCATCAACTCTGTCCTCTTTGTGCTCAATTTGCATTTGACAACTGAAAAGTTCAGCAGATGCATCATCGGGCCTCTTTGTTCATTTTTTGCACTTCGCTGTAAAAAACAAGAAATGATTATTAAAAATATATATATAACTGCTGGAAAACTCCTTTCTCCCCTCTAGTTCAGAATCTTGCCCTTGGGAATGTTTGTCGTATTTTAAATCAGCAGATGATAGTTGGCTGCATCTGCCCATGTGGTACTTTTTTTTTTCGTCTGGGTTCACACATAAACTTTCTTTCTTTCCTTCCCTCTAAATTTCTGTCTTTCTTTTTACCTCTCTGTCTGTCTTTTGGTAGATTGTCTTTCTTTTTTTCTTCCCATCTTTATGGTTTTTCCACACAATCCTTTAGCCATGTTATTGTTCAAATTTAACTTCCAATTCTCAAGTTACTGTGTGTGTGGTTTTTTCTTGTCTACGAAGAAATTATTCCCATGGGAAAAGATAAGTGTGAAACAAGGGCAGCCAGGGTCCTATCTTTGGGGTGTCCAGACTTATACAAAGAACTTTTTAATGAATTGTTTTTTTCTCTCAAAAAAGGAAGACATGTGTAGCCTCTGCCCCAGAGGGGGAGAATTCTTGGCTGAGGAGGATAGACGGAGAGTGTTTCCAAACTCTCCACCTTCAAATCCGAAGTCTTTGAAAGCTATCCTAAGATAAAGCAACATTCTCTTGTGAATTTTGTAATAAGAATTCTTGACTTGTTGGGTACGGGGCACATCTGAGCATGAATTGCCTTGGGTTTCCACAGGCCATCCTAGAATCCCTGGGAAGGGCTCCCTTTATTCCTGGACCGCCTTTGATGACACACAACCTTTGACCCTGATCAATGCATCCTCCTCCCAAGCAGTGCAGACAGGAGCAACTCTCTCAGCACCCAGAGGAAGCGCGGGCATTCGGCCCTGACCTCTCACCCTGCCCCTAACCTCACTGATAATTGAGTTTTCCATTCGTACTCACCAGCAGGCTCGCTACACAAAGAAACAAGCCCCCACCCGCTTACTCTGTCTTTACCAAGATGAAACCACGAGCGGGGTCTGTTCAGCCAACACCAGCATCCGGTACCGGAACACACAAGAGGGTCGGATCCGGGTCCCAGCTCCCCCATTCCATCCTGGGCCTCCCAGCACTTCCCATGCCCCTAGGACAGAGTACCTGACTCAGACAGCATTTGTTCCTCCTAGTGTGTCACTTGAGAGAACTGTGTCTCTTTGAAAGATGTTCATGTTGCAGAGCAATTTAAAACACATACCTCCTTCCAAGTGTCCTTCCATAAAAGCCTGCTTTCCAGAAGCTCCTGGAATCCTAAAAACTGAATCAAAGACAATTTAAAATGAACTTTCTCTACCTCCCTTTGAATCTTTGTAAAATCTCTTATTGTAGAATAAAGTAAGCTATCAACAAGCCCTCTCAAAACATTTCCAGCCTAAGTTTGCCCTATCTGTGGAAAGAATGGATGGCTAGAATCACCCCCTTGACCTCCTGCTGAAGAGGACAAGGTACTGATTTGGGACGCAAGTCCCCAGCCAGTGAGTTGGTGCTCACGGAACTGCTGTCCATGAGGAGGGGAAGATGGAGCCCTGAGATGCCCACCCTGCCCTCGGCAAATGCTTGCGGGTTTCTAACTTAGGAATGGTAATGACCTAATTGGCATCACGCACTTCCCCCTGCCAGTAACACCATCTCCTTCGGCTCTCATGCCCCCACTGAGGTAGTTAGATCTTGTGCCAAAAAAACCAGAGGGCAGAGGATGGGTCCAAGGTCACCAGAAGAAGTGGAGCCAAGACTTAGAGCCAAGTTTTTGGACTCTGCAGCTACGAAACTTGGTGAGTGCCCCACTGCTTCCCAAGGAGCACCCCTGGAAGGCAGAAGAACGAGAGGAAGCTTCGAGGGTAGGACAAAGACACAAGAACATGTGAAAGCAGAGACAGAACCGTTCTTGCCAGAGAGAGCTGGAGACTTCAGAAGACAGAACTGTTGCCATGGCAGTGGCATTCCGGGGGGTGGAGGAGCTTCCTGGAGAGGAAGGGCCTCAGCTGAGCCTTAAGGATAGAGCAGCATTGAGAGTAGTAGAGGGGAGATGGTGAGGGGCTTTAGCAGGGGGACCTGCCTGGGAAGAGGCTTCAAGCCAGAAGCCCTGATGGCGACAGTGACGAGGCTCCTGGGCTGACAGCCTGTTGGAGACAGAGGGAGGGCCACACGTGTAAGGCCTTGAAAGTTGGGCCAGGAGTTGGGGCTTTCTGTGTAAGCAGTCTCTTAGAATACCTGCTGTAGGAGTGTAGTGTGCAGTCTTTAACAACCAGGACGTTTTCCCATGTGGAAATTGAAAAGTGGGAAAACTCAGCCAGAATGGCGCCCGTATCTGGGCCAGCCAAAGCAAGACCCATTAGCCTAAAAGCCTCCTCTTCATTCCCCACTGCTTGCCCTCTTGCCCAGACAGTGTGAAGCTCCCTAGGCCCGTGCTCAATCTCCAGCCTTCTGGGCTGCTTTACGGCAGATTCAGAGGCAAAAGGTCTGGGAGTGACTCAAGAATCTCTGTTTTTACTGAGTTCCCACAGGTGGTTGTTAACCAGGAACCAGTTTAGAAAGAAAAAACACCACCGTGAAGATCACCTGGAGCACTAGGAACTAACAGGGCCTCTCCTCTGCAAAGCCTGAGTCAGCAGGTCCATGGGGAGAAGCAGGAATCCGGGTCTTTAACAAAAGCAGGGCCAGGTTTAGGTTGAGATGAGCAAGGTGAGCCATCCAAGTGCAGGGTCAACTCCCGTCCTCATTTCAAAGTTTCTTTGCTCCATTGCTCATCATGGACATTTTTGCACTGATTTTTATAGCATTTATCTTGATAACTGAGTTGGGTTTTTTTTTTGTTTTTTTTTTTTTGGCTTCTCCTTAAAATTTACACCTAAAATGAGTGTCGCGCTCACCTCACCCTTGTCTTAGTCCACAACAAAAGCCCCAGGTGATCCCCAGGATGATGGCTGAGTCCAGGACACTCAGCACAGCCTTCCAGCTCTTTCCTTTGCCTGCATTTCCAGGCACATTCACCTCCTCCCTGAGCACAGGCTCCACACACCCACTCCAGCCCAGTGACCAGCTCTCCAAACAGCCTCTGCACATACTCTTCCCTCTTCTGGGAATGTCCTTGCTGCCTCTGGGGTCCCCACTCTACCTGGGCAGCCCCTCCTCCAGTGCCACCAATGGCCCCCTGTATACACACAGGGCTGGGAGCTCTGCCACAGTCTCCTGCTGAAACTACCAGCCTCCCCCAACAATCCCAGGAAAGAACAGTGTCTTCACTTCTACGCTCATTTTGCCCGCACCCCCAAGTCAGGACTGTCTCACCATCCCATTATTGCTCAGTGTGCCTGTGAGCCTCTTGAGGAAAGAGGAAATGTCTTATTCCAGACCCTCTTACTCCTAGAACATACCCTGGCACTGAAGACAGGATGGATGGATGGATGGCGGGGTGGGTGGGGGTGGGTAGGTGGATGGATGGATGGATGGATGGATGAATGAATGAATGAATAAAAGTTGAGGCACAATGGAATGATCACAGGTCTTGGCCTCACAACCCAAACCTGGGCTTGCATCCGCCTTCACTACCCACCTCTGAATGCTCCAAACAAGTGACTTAACAACACCGGCCTCCATCTCCTCATCTATAAAATGGAACTAAGGTGGCTGCTTTGCAAGGTTGTTGTGAAAATTAAAAGCAGTTTACTGAGTGCCTGGGACCCAATTTCCATAAATTGGAAAAATAACAGGGATCAGATGGCAGACTGCCTTTCCCCTCGGAACCATTGTATGGTGCTGTGTGCTCTGAGGGCCGTGCAGTAAAGCACTATGTGGCTTGCTGCTGTGATCCTTCTAGGATGGCTAAGCTTAGTCTGATGAGTGGTTCATAATGACCAAGGCTTAAGTGAGGCTTGGACCCCAAATCCATTGGAGGGATTTCACATTCTAAAGTCAGATGGAGGAAAGAAATGATGTGGGTCTTCATGGAGTTTAAAGCACACTGATTCAACTCAGATTTGAGGAACATCAGCTGGCACTTCCCACGTCTGTGTAGGGTGGCAGGCTGGGAGTCACTCCTAGATGCTGTCGCAGACGGAGTCTCCTGAAGCCACTTTCAAGTATTAAATATCATGAGAAAGATTTTACCTTGGAGTAGACTTATCCTGACCTTTCGTGCATTAATCAGGATTCTCCAGAGAAACACAACCTATACGTATCCAGAAAGAAACAGAAAAAGATTTACTTTAAGGAATTGCTCATGACTCTGGATACTGGCAAATCTGAATTTTGCGGGAGAGGCGGACAGGCTGGAGACCCTGGGAAGTGTTGATGTTGCAGTCTTGAGTCCGAAGACAGCTAGAATTGAATCTGCCTTTGGATTCATCTTCATGAGGATTTCTTCATCTTCGCGGGACCTCAGTCTTTTCTCTTAAGACCTGGAGGATAATATGTTTATTCAGAATCTACTGACTTCAATGTTACTCTCATCTAAAAAAACAACCTTTACAGTGACATCTAGACTGGCATTTGATCAAAGAAATGGGCACCATAGCCTAGCCACATTGACGTACAAAATTAGCTATCATGCTCCCCAAGTTTGCAATATGAGAAAGAATCAGCCCACCCAACAGTCAGTTACTACATAAGAAGTTACTACATAAGTCAGTAACTACATAAGTCAGTTACTACAATTAAGTACTTTCCCATTATTGGGAAATTGCCAGGGAATTTTCCCATTGCCAGGGAAAAGACACCCCACAGAACAGTGCCGCCAGGGTTGGGGGCTGTCATCAGTCTGCTGTTTGGGGGCAACCAAGACAAACCAAGTGTTCTACTAGACTGTTTGACAGACAAAAAGGAAGCTGGCAGAGTTCTTTCCAGGAAAACTCATTCATTCACCCAATACTGTTGGCTCTACTCAGCACCAGGCTTACCAGATCCCATCCAGTGGACAAATGTTACAACAAGGGGGCATGCCAAAGGGGAAAGCCAGGGGTGTGCAGCCTCCACACAGGAAACTCAGGAGGATGCTTGTAATGTGCAGGAGTTGGGGGGGAACTAGCAGCAAATTCAGTGGCCATCACCAGAGGAATGAGTAAGGAAAACTTAGTGATGCACGATGTGAAATTTTTTGCAGCATTTGGAAACAATTAACTAAATGTACACACAGCTTAGATTTTAAAAACACAATGCTGAATGGGGAAAAAGTAAGAAACAGAACAGTTGATACCACAATATCGTTTATATAAATTGAGAATACATCACACAAGGCAACGTGCTTTAGAGAGATGCATGTAATTTCAAGGATACAAAGCAGATGCGTTGGAGCAGTTGCCTACGAGAAGAGGGGGATGGGATGGGAATTTAAGTAGATAAATGAGAAGAGGAGCCTGGCATGAATCAATGAGGTAATGTTTCACGAACTACAGAGTAACTCAACCCTCTGCACTGTGGTCCAGAAAGTGGAAGAAAAATCATTGCTGAGAGCTGCCACCAGGTTATCAAGATTTGTTCAAGGTCTATCTTTTCTTCTAGATCAGAAGTTATAGCCCAGGAGCCAAATCCAACCCACCACCAGGTTCTGTAAATAAAGTTTTATTGGCACACAGCCACACTCATTCATTTACATATTGCCTGTGGCTGTTTTTACAGGACAATGGGAGAGTTGAGGAGTTGCATCAGAGACTATGTGGCCTGCAAAGCTTAAGAGAATTATGAACTGGTCCTTTACGAAAAAGGTTTGCCAACCCCTACTCCAGACTAAAAGCTCCATGATGGCAAGGACCGCAGGTAAAGAGAAAAGAGAAAGCTCCATGAATAGTGATGTATCAACACCGGCCAAATACAAAACAAGCACACAGGCTTCCCACAGCTCCAGGGTATCACTCAGACTGCAAGTGGTGGCCACTCAGTTCTTCAACTGCACCAAGGGCCCTCTGACCCTAGGCCTTTGTGTGTGCTGACCTTCTCTGTGGAACGTTCTCTCTGTACTTCATCCTCCGACCAACTCTACCATATGTCTTCTAGGAGTGTTCTCTGGTGCCCTGCCCCTAGCCTGGGAAGCCATTTAAAGCCTTTCATAACACTCAGCACTTCCTGATAAAACACAGCACCCTGGTATTGTGTGCTCAACAAGATGAACACATAGGTCTGCCCTCCTTTCTAGACCAAAACCTACACAAAGGCATGGACCAAGTCCTGCTTGATTCTGAGTTCCCAGCTTCTCTAGCACAGCACATATTAGGTGCTCAATAAAATTTTTTAAGAAATAAATCAATGAATTCAAGAATGAGTAAATGAAAAGGTGTGATGGAGGGATGGTAAGCAGGACAGTGTGGCAGGAGCAGAGGACATGCAGGGAAAGGGGAAAGAGTAAGATAGGAAAGATTGGGGGAAATGATAAAAGGCCTGAAATGCCAAGAAGTAGATGCTTTCTTCCAAAGGGCATGTGCTGAGGCCTGACTTTCCAACACAAAGACTGTCTACTGCATGAATAATTGACTTGGAGCTGGAAGGAGTCAGAATCCAGGTCATCCCCCCACCCCCGCCATGGAGATGGTGCAGCCCCGTTTCCATCCTGGTTCCTCAGCTGACCTGCTTCCAGCCTCTACTCATCCTCTGGTGGATGCAGGCATGACCTATTCCACACACGGTGAGGGCTCAGAATACTGGTGCCTGCCCTGGCTTTGCCAAGACAGAGCATGTTCAGCTTCTCCCTGGTCCTGGAAGACAGGAGTGCCAGATGGAGTCCTTAGGCTCTATTCTCTGCAGTCCTCTGAGCCCATGGCCTTCTGGCTTGTAAGCATATAATAAACCAAGCACCTTTCCCCTTTGCTGTGGGCTATAAGAGTAGAAGGCATCGCAGAGTCCTGAAGACCCCCAGAGAGCACTGACTCCACATTGCAGCTCCTCTCACTGCCTCCAGTCCCCTTGGTCCCTGTACCCACCTGGGAAGGCTTTCTATGGGACTTT